AATAACATTTGGGTAAAAATTATCATTAAAATTATTATTACAGATAATAAATAAAATTTTAAATATTTAAAATAATAATTATTAATGTATTAATATTTAAAGTGTTTCTTTAATTATTAAATATAACACATATATCATTTAAAACTTCTAAAATTTTATTTATTATATAAAAAATAAAATATTTATATAATAATAATAATAATAATAATAATCAAATTTTAATTAAAATATTTTGACAATAATTTCGCTATAATATATTTAATTTCAAGTTTGTTTTTTATTTATTTATCATAAATAATAAAATATAAATATATCAAAATAATTTCTTTAATTTAAATATTTTAAAAATAATTACATTTGAATATATTTATACTTCAATTTAATTTTAGCTTTTTTTATTTAAAAGAATATATATATTTATGTTTTCAGTTTATTTTAGTTTAGTTTTAACCGAACTAATTTATATACATAAATATAATTAAAGAATTGAAAAATACAACTTTGTTGGACTGCTAAAACTGACAAATTCCCAATTTGTTCATCTGCAATTCACGTCTGTCCAATACAGTAATTTCCTTTGGTCTGCTTTAGTCTTTTTTTAAAGTAAAATGCTTTTAGTGCTCCATTTTCTAAGCTCTGCTGACAGCCTGAAATATTTGGGATACTTTAACAAGCACTTTTTTTACTAATTAAGCGCCCCACACGCTACGACCAAAACCAAAGCGAACTGTGGAAAACTTCAAGTTGTTTCGCCTTTAAAAAAAAAGTGGAAGAAACGTCTGTAGGGGCAAAACAAGAGCAAAGCTGGCGCCAAGTCGTTACATGAAAAAATTCTCAACTACATGCTAAGACACACTCACTCACACACACACACACACATGCAGCACACATAGATACAGTGGCTACTTTTATGAGCCGCAACACTTGAAAATTTTCTCACAACCAGACGCTGACTTTGGCGTCGACGTCGACCGCAAGAAATAATTTCCCTTAGCTGCATTTTTACAACTTAACACAGAGCACTGAAAAAAACCTGGCGAACAATAAAAACAAGAATGAAACTAAAGGAAAAAATGCCAGCTCGCTCTGAGGGTGGGGGCGTGGCAGCTATTTGGCTGCCCCAAAAAAAAAAAAAGAAAAAATATAATAATGTTTGCCTTCTGTTTCTTTTCCTTGGCCATGCACGACTGCCTGCAGAGGTGCTGAGGGGCCGGCAAATAGTAGAAATTGTGGCACCTGTGCTGCGCTGTATCTTTGCAGTCGTGTATCTGTAGCTTGGTATCTTTTTTGTATCTTTGCCGACAACGGCAGCAACAACAACAACAAATAAACTGCCGGCCAAGTTATGACAGTCGGCCGCAGGAAACATTATTCTTAGTTAGATGCTAATTAATTAAAGAAGAACATACAGCCCAGGGGCCATTCGGTGGCCCATACCACGCACACATACATATGGAGCTATATGTGGGCAGACGTTGTCGAAGCAACACGCTGCATGACATACTCTCAGTGCATGATGAGCATAAATTTCAACTGTCCCGCTGCCAGAGTCTGTGGGAGGACTCAAGGCAGGAAGTGTTGCTCTGACCAGAAGCATTAGATAGAGAGAAAGAATCCATTAATTCTGACAGGCTAAAGTTGGCTGAAGTTAAGAATAGCCAGGTACATGTTCTGAATGTCAGCGGCATCGGTAACTTTTGGGAGACCAAAAATTAGGCAAAATTTCGAATTGAAATTGTATCTGAATATGAAATAAAAACTCAAACATCACAATAAATTTGGGATGTATTTGAAGAATATATGAAGTTGAAAGCAGAAAATTAAATTTAATGTGATATATTTAGAGGAATATTTAAGAATTATGAGTATTTGAAAATATTTCAAAAGCATAAAATAATACATAAATTTTATTGAATTTAAATTAAATATTAACTGAATTTGGGATTTTACATAAATATGAATATAAAAATAAACATACATAAAATATTGAAATAATATCTTTAATTTATGAATATGAAAAAAAAACTATTGTTTATTGAGTATAAAATCAAATATCATATTCAAAGCTTATAAATATTTATGTCTGAAGCATTTGAATATGAAATTTCATTTTGAGAGCATAAAATTTATCATATATTTTGAATACAAATTGAGCAATATTCTATATTTAAATTTTGAATATGATTTAAATATGAATAAAATAATTAAAAATAAAAATAAATATTAAAAAAATGTAAAATGAATTATTAAATTAAATTTTGAATATATCTGAAGAATATGAGTAAATAAAATTTGAATATAGTTGCACAATATAAAATATTGTTTTGAGAGTACAAAATGAAATTATAAAAATTAATGTAAAATTTAAACAATATTTATAGAGCATCATATGAAATATGATATTAAACATCATAAACAACATAAATATGTATGTGGAAATTCATTCTTAAATTATAATATGAAATATCTTAGAGATTCTAGAGTTGTTTCAACTAGAACAAAGAATTTTCTTTTGTGTATAACATAAATATTATTAGTAAATAAAACAAATATACATATGTAGGCATTAATTAAAATTATTTAGACTAGAAGCTGAGTTGGAGTTGATTTCTGTGAACTCCAAGTCGAAATTAATTTCGTTTCATGATAACAAAAAAATGAAAATATTTCTTTTAACTTTAGCATTTAGTTCTCTATTAATAGATAGCATTATTATGTTTAATGAAACACACACTCATTAAATATTATGTATGAATATTATATGCATTGTTCAATAGAGTTTCGCAAAGTTTTCTAGCTAAGCTATTTCGTTGCCTATCAAGGTCCAGCACAATAGCATCAGAGCAAACAAGATAACGAAAACTTTGATCATAATGCTAATAAAATCGACCACAACCGAAGAAGATATGCTATATGTATATGTATGTATATGTGTATATATTTTTGTATATACACAGGCAGAAGATGAGGAAAAGTTTTGAAGATTATTATGATGATTGCGCCGCAATGGCGCCTGCAGGCAGGCAGCCCCAACGTGCTTTAGCTGCCAACTTGTTTACATAAATTTTAATTGCTGTAATTATGATTTTTACACGAAATTAATTATGCATGCGCAGTAGTAGCAGTAGCTGCAGCAGCTTGAATATCTTAGATATGTATACGGCAGATTGAGACACGCAAACGATTCAATAAAAACTAATCTTTGGTCTGGCTAAACTCATGGGCACATTTATGCTTAGCTTTAGATCTGAGCCACTTTAATTATGAAATTGTAGTGGGAAAGTAGCTCGTATCTTACAAATACAAAGCATCTGCTGGATGCCAGATAAGCAGGTCGTGTCAGCCTAAAAGATCTTGCGCCAGCTGATAAAGAAAATGGAAAAGAAAATTCATTTCTAGTTTTCAGTTTTTCTCCCACTTTTTGTTGACCTGCTTAGCCGTTTGGCTGCTGTTTCGTATCCATTAGATACAGCAGGTTATTTTGATTGGCCTGGCGCGCTGACAGTTTGACTTTTGTTAATTTGTGTTTAATTAATGTTCAGTGTGGCACACTGAATTCCACACACGCCACACGCCACATGCCACATGCCGCAGCCGAAAGAGTTGTGTTTTAAAACTATTTGCAATCAAAGGCAATTTCCTGGCGACTTGCTCATAATTGCACTAAAAAACAGTTTTATTTATTCGGTTTGTTAGCTTCATCAATCGAAACAGGTTTTGATCGAAGTTGTCCAATAGTAAAATATAATAGGACAGCCAATCGAGAACCCGTCTCAGGTTTACGCATTTGTTTCTTATTCACTCTTCGCTTAATTAAACAATGATTTGTTTATTTATTCATTCATTCGATTCACTTTGTGTCACAAAATGTTGTCATAAATACTGAAAATGAGACTTTAAGTGCTTCGTTTCTATTTTTCGGACTTGATTTACGGCAGACCTTGGAGTCAAAGATGCGACATAAATAATACATTTAATTCAAACAATCAAAACTCAATAAATATGATCTATAAAGTTTTCTAAAATATTGAATTTATTTTAGTTAAGTAAAAAAAATCATTTTTCATATAAATATTACATATGAAATAAAACTGAAATTCATAATTTAAAATGAAGTCAATTTGTCAACAAAAAAGTTGCTGAATATTTTGTAACATTTTGTAAAGTGATTATAATATTTCAATTAGCTTTAAGTATTTTTTTTTAAATCCAATAGAATCATTTTTACTTTTTAAATAAAAAAATAATAATATAAATCTTATAAATTAATTAATATTTTTATAATTATTATCAAAGTATCTACCAATTCAGTTAGTCTTAATATTATAAAAATAGCTTTTTAATATAAGCCAGAAGGGTTTTTTGTAGCTGAGAAAAAGGTTTTCTTTGTTGAAGTTTCAATCAAAATATGCGTTTGAATATTTTATATATATATATATATATATATATATATATATATATATATATATATATATATATATATATATATATATATATATATAAAGTATACACTGTTCTTCTATTAAGTTATATACAAATGTATTAAATATATATATATATTTTTTTTGTTTAAAAAGTTTAAATAAAAAACAATATTTTTAAAAATTTTTAAATCTTTAAACAAAACTTATAAATCAATTTGAATTGCTTTTAAAAAGTAAACTGCCTAGGTTCAATTGACTTAATAATATAACTTTTATTATTATTCTAATTTTGTATATATTCATAGCAAATCTTTTATTCGCTTGTAAAATATATATTTTTTTTAATACACAAAAAGTTGTATTAAGAAATATTTAACTTAGCCTAAAACTTCTATTTTAGATTTATGACAATAAAAAGTTATTTTTAACTTTTATTTTAATGTTTATATATAAAGACATGCTGCAATAAGCAATATTTTTTATTTATTTTGCTGCCTAAGAGTCGAACATTTTTTTCTAACTTTTTATTTCATTCCATTTCGACTTAAGTTTAGTTTTCATTGCACTCGCACTCACCTAATTTGAAAATATTTGTCGCCTCAAATGTTTTCAATCAGTTGATTGTAGATTGTATCCTTTGCTTGTATGCATTGTATATAGGGTATATTATGTATAGTTATTATATTTGCTGTATATATTTTTATTTTATTTTCCTTTTTATATAATAGTTAAAAAGCGTTGCACAAACACACACACAATCAAGAAATGCTAAACACAATTTTTGATAGATTTGTAAATGCAAATTAAATGCAGTCGAAGCTGTTGCAATTATTTGATTTATCTTATTATTACTCTGTTGCTGTTGTTGTTGCACTGTTGCACTGTTGCTCGCAGCTTGTGTATCTTGTGGGTTGTTTTGATATGTTTAGCACATTTCGGCTGTGAAATACTTTTGGCTTTAGTTACATGCCACAGGCAGCCGGAGGCGTTTATTTAACGGCTATTGAACTTGGCTTGCATTGCTGGCGCCGACCGGTGCACAGGTGCCGCATTTTGTTTCGCCTAGCATTGAGATACTTTTGCGCAACTAACAGTATCTTGTATCTGGTAACATTAACTCGCACACGCACACTCACGCGAAGCACGTAACACCGAAACCGTCGCCGATCTGCACAGAGCTGAGCGTTGTTGTTGCCGTCACGAACGTTGGGATGAGACTGAAACTGGACGAGACTGGTTCCACTGTTGCAACCACCATTGCCGACCGAATTGTCGCAACAACGCCGAACGTTCTGCCGCTGTCGCTATCTCTGCCACTGCCGTTGTCGTTGCCGCTGCCGTTGCCGTTGCTGCTGCTGAGCTGCTGCCGTTTCGCTTGTTGTAACGCGCCGAACGAAGGTTGACGAGCGATTGAATTGAACGAACGTTGTAAAGCTGCTCAGGAGCCGCATTTCGTACACGGACGTTCATGTAAACGAGCAACGACGACAATCTAACTTCAGTGTGGAACTCAAACAGAGAGCGACAGCGTTTGGCTGCTGAACAAAATACAGAGATTAAAGCGAGCGAGAGAGAACGAGGCATAGAGAGCGCGGGTTTTTTTTTAAGTAAAGAGCGAGTTTTGTTTGTGGAACGTATTGGGCTGTGCAGTCCAGAAGTAAACAAACAATATTTTAATATTACATTTATCAGTAGTTTTACTTTTATTTTAAAAATAAAGAAAATCATTTAAGCTTCTTAAAAATAAAGGTTTTTCTATAGAAATTTGGTGTTTCATTTTCTATATTTTTTTAAAGATTTTATTTTAATTTAGTTTATTTTGAATTTTTTAATTACAATAGTGTAGTCAAAAATAAATCAATTTTTCATTTACATTTGATAGATTTGATAATTCAGTTCCAAAAACTTAAAAAAAAAATAATAAGTAAGATTTTTATTATTTTTAATTTTTTTTTTTATTTATTTTTTTAATTTTTAACAATTTTTTTTGCTTTTTAAATATTTTACTACTATGTTGGACTCTTTAGCCGATTCACCTGTGCAATGTAACTGTAGCTCGCAGCAAACTTCGACTCTTCATCTCTCTCTTTGCCTAACAGCAAAACTCTCCCTTTTTTGCTTCCGTTCTGCCTTTCTCTTCTGTATAAGCACATCAGGCCGTCATTCTCTTTGCTAACTAGTAGTAGAGTTTTCATTGCCATTTCGTTCCGTTGCGGAACATCTTGGCATGTCAGCGAAACAAAACAATCAGCGCATCTAACTGTTGATTTGTATTGCTATCCGCGAGATACAATTTGTTGCGCTGTTATCAGCAAGAAATTGCTCTTCATATTAATTAATATTTAATAAACATTTTATATAATAACATTAAGTGTATATAAATTGTTATCATCAGCCGCCGATTGCTCAGTAATTTTAAAATCACTTTAATCACGATATTCACACAAGATACAAGAGACAAGCGCAGATACAGATACAAAGCTATAAAGTGCGTAACGCGCCGCAACTTGTCATAATGAGGCATTAAGAAGCAGCTTAAAGCCGTCGAGATTTGCCGCCAGCCCAATGGCATAGATGGTAAGAGAGAGAGAGAGAGAGAGCGATACGGGGCGACGCGGAACGGGAGCAAAAGGGAGAGCAACATGCGATCTCGCTTTGATTTATGACGCCTTGTTTGCGATACAAACTCTCAGATAGAGTCTGAGAGCTATGTCTGAGGGGCACTTGTTGTAGATGATATCGTGGCGCGCTTTACGGTTGCCCAGTTTGATTGATTGGTCCACACACACACCCGCGCACACACATAGAGTGTGTGTTTGTTTTTTGATATGAACAGAGATCTAAGTGAACAACTTTTGTCACTTTCGAATATTTCGACTTGGCGACACTCTTTGTGCACTAGATACAAATCAGTTAGCTGAGCCGGGCTAAGCTGCTTGACCTATATTTTCGCTTCAATGCAGAACACGCACAGAATTATTCACAGTGTAGGATTATCAAAGAGCTAAAGAAATTGAAATTTCAGTTATTTAAAAATGCTTAACTGGTTGAGTAGCTTATATTTCATTTAGTTTTATAAAAATTATATAAAAAAAAAATGTTATAAAATTAAATTTTCAGCAAAAGCTTTATAAACGAGTTTATAAATTTGAAAAAAAAAAAACAAAAATTTTGTTTTTATACATTAATCAATGCAAAACTCAAAATCAACAAATTAAACAACAAATTTTAATTTCAAATGGCTTGCAAAATATTTTGATTTTATCACGAAATTATATTGCACTACTATTTTTATGAACGCAATTGTGTGCACTACTATTTTTATGAAAAAAACATTGTTCATGCAAATAGTAGTAAACGTTGCCTTGTTCATGAAAATAGTAGTGAATGCAGCTCTGGTTATGAAAATAGTAGTGAACACCGCTATGTTAATAAAAATAGTAGTGAACACTGCCTAGTTCATAGAAATAGTAGTGAATGCAGCCTTGTTCATAAAAATAGTAGTGAACACCGCCTTGTTCATAAAAATAGTAGTGAATGCAGTTTTATTCATAAAAATAGTAGTGAACACTGCCTAGTTCATAGAAATAGTAGTGAACACCGCCTTGTTCATAAAAATAGTAGTGAACACCGCTTTGTTCATAAAAATAGTAGTGCAATGTGTGTAAATTGGCTTGAGTTTACAGCTTAAGATTTCTTAAAAGCAAATGCTTACTGTATCTGCTGACTTCTTGGAGGCATCTAAATCTCTGTCTGCCTTATCATAGTTTGTCAGTTAATGTGGAACACTGTTTAGATAGATATTCCCTTGCAGTTCATTAATTTCGCATATCAGCTTATCTGTGAGCTGTGAGTCTCTGCATGTCTCGCTAGTCATATCACACTCTGTCAGTTGCCAAAGAACACACTGCGTTGCTGACTTCTTTCAGGTATGTCCATCAGTTTAAGCTCATGTCAAGCCTGTGTCTCGCTGGGGACGTGTTGCAACTGGCATAGCTGCAACTATCTCTTGACTTCATCTACGGCCGAACAAATGCCGAGTGACAGCTAAATATGAAAATTAAACAGCTAAGATGGGGCAAGGGGCAGGGGCAAGGGGCAGGGGCTGCTCGCTAATCGCCGCGACTCGCCTCGACTCGAGTGATAAATTTATCGAATTGTGTAAATATTCAGTCATGATAACGCGCCAGTTGTCGTCGTCTGCGTTCAGTTAGTTGTGTCTGTCTTCGGGTATTTTGTATATTTATCCTACGCGCTGATTGCATTTTTGTGTAAATTCTTGCCACAATAATAATCAGCCAGGCAGCAAGGCAGCAAGGCAGCCAGGCAGGCAGCTCCTTCGAGTCGTCTGTTTGTTTATGCTCTTGGCAGAAGGCAAACAATGCGACGACTGCGGCGCATGCGCAACTGCTTAGCACTGAGCTATTTGAATGGAAGTAGTACTCTCCCCCCGCCAACCCCGCCGTGCCCTAGCTCTGTCGTCGCTCGGGTCCGTCATTCATATTTTGAGCGCATTTGTTTGTCTGCCAGTTGCCAGTTGGCAGTTGGCAGTTGTCTTGGGCCTGGGCTTGTTTGCATAAATGATAAATTGCTAATTGATAAATTTCTTATTTGTTGCATTTCTATTTTGTTAGTCAATGTTGCTGGCATTTGCCACTTCCTGCACGACAGTAAAACTGTTTGCTCACTTTACTTTCCTTTCCTTCCGAGAATGGCTTCACTTTAATTCATTCGCTTTATTTGACAATTTTAATTGAACAATTTTATTGAATATTGAAAAGTTGTTCAATTGTTTATTAACTTTAAAATTGTGAATTTGTAACTCAGTTTGTTCTTCTCTCTCACTGTGCCTCCTTGATATCCCTGTATCTCTCTTTCTCTCCCTCTCTATCTCTATCCCTCACTCTCCCTTGACAAATTACTATTTCTTTTTGTGCGCGCTCTATCCTCTTTCTTCTTCTATATCTATTTCTTTGTCTCTTTCAATAACATATTCTTTTTCGAACTCCTTTTGCTCTCTCTCTCTCTTTCTCTCGCTCTCTCTCCCTATTTTTTACCCTTCTATCTAAATATAATGCATAATATGTAATTTATTTCTCCTTCCACTCTCTGTCTCTCTATATATGTGTATGTTTCTACCTCCTTGCTTCTGTCTTTTCTTTTGGCTTTTTCTTTCTCTCTATCTCTCTCTCTCAGTCCATGTCTCTCTTTCTGCCTCTGTGTTTATGTCCTTCTCTCTATCTCTTTTTGCCTGTTTATTTTTTTGTTCTTCATTCGCGCTCTCTTTCTTTTGTTCTCCCGCTCTTTTGCTCCGTCTCTTCCTTTTTTATCTCTCACTCTCTCTCTCTGTCTGTCTTATTCTTTCTGCCGTGCATTTGCCATTGCTTTCTCTGAGTCTCTCTCTTTCTCTCTATATATATATATATATATATATATATTTACATGTATGTATCTATCCTCTTTGTAACTCTTTCTCCCTTCTACATTCGTTCTCTCTATTCATCTCTCTAATTCCTTCTTTATCTTTTCCTGACTCTCACATGCTCATTCTCCTTCTCTTCCTCTCTCTCTCTCTCTTTCTCTCTCTCTCTCACTCTCTCTCTCTCTCTCTCTCTCTCTCTATCTCTCTCTCTCTCTTTCTCTCTGTCACTTATAGCCCCCTCTCTCTCCTTCTCTTTCACTTAACATTGTCAGATTTTAATACATTTTTTGTCCAAGTCTTTGATTTTTTAATGCATTTTGACAGCGCATTTCAAATATTAATTAACTCTCACAATTCGATAAATAAATATATATATTTATATTTATTTATATATATATTTATTTGTGAGCAAATAATGCCCTAATTAATTTTGACAGCTTAATACATATATTTTTCAACTTTTCAATTAGGAAGCAAATTGACTTCTGACACTTTATTTTTAGTTATTGTTTTTTTTAAGAACTTGGAAATTTATGGATATGACAATATAATTCAAAATTGATTTTACGTACATCAGTTGAGTTTTAATACAAAAATATACAAAAGAAAAATATATATATTATATTATAGATATTTATATATATTTATTTAGATATAATATTTATATTGCAGCTAACTAGCAGTCAGTCAGTCAGTCCGTAATATACTTTTAATAAGTTAATAACTTATACCCAAGTATCTAATATGCATATTTTTCTGGTAGATAAAGCTGAATTAAATAGAGATTGTGCAGAGTATCTGCCAAGCAGAACAACTAAATGATTTTTTTCGACTTCCTCAACTTGCTACACTTAAAGTATCTTTGAGTATCTTTTTTGGTATCTTTGGTGCTCTGACGGCCTGGCTCATAAATTTCGTTTAACGCGTGCCACTCACAAAGTTTGCGACCGCACTTCGGAAACTTGCAAGTAACTT